TTCAATATGATTCGAATCAATGATTTCAAAAACTGTGCAAACCAGTTATTAAAGAAACTAACAATAGCGTTAACGCCAAAATTAGAGAAAATATCTGCTGACGAGCAGAAAAGAAAACTCCTACAAACGTATCATAATGACCCATTATACGGAGGTCACCCTGGCATCAAAAGAATGTCAGAACAAGTTGAAAAGCAGTAAGTTCGGCCGGGCCGAACTTTTAATACCCTCCACCATTTACAACGAATTTGGAAATTTTCAAAAAATAAAATCCTTAAAAAATTCTGTTCAAATTTTAAAAATACCGAATATAGCCGTTATATTGGGGTCCATACGACGTGGACATACATATGCATTGTTTGTCATAAGCCATTACCATATTCAAATTCGAAACTGGACCCGCACCGACAATTTTCTTTCACAGACTGTAGTTCCCATAACGAACTTCAAATACCAAATTTTAAACAATTCCGGTTAATAATGTCGCTAAAATCATCAAAATACCGAACATAGCGAGGTGCCGTTATATGGGGCTATACGAAGACGTGGACCTGCAAAGACAATTTTCAGTCTTAGGGTGTAGTATCCATTTGGAACTTCAAATACCAGATTTGAAACAATTCCCGTGAATAATTTCGCTAAAATCATCAAAATACCGAATATCGGGAGGTACCGTTATATGGGGGCTATACGAAGACATAGACTTGCACAGACAATTTTCTATCTTAGGGTGTAGTATCCATTTGGAACTTCAAATACCAAATTTGAAACAATTCCGGTGAATAACGTCGCTAAAATCATCAAAATACCGAATATCCGGAGGTACCGTTATATGGGAGCTATATGAAAACGTGGACCTACATGGCCCATTTACGAACTTAACCTGCCTACTGGAAAAATCAACATGTGTGCAAAATTTTAGCCATCTATCTCAATTTATTCGAAAGATAGCGTGATTACAACAGACAGACAGACGGACAGACAGACAGACAGACGGACAGACAGACGGACATCGCTAAATCGACTTAGAATTTTACGCTGATCAAGAATATATATACTTTGTTGGGTCTGACATGAGTATTTCGAGGAGTTACAAACGGAATGACAAAGTTAATATACCCTCCATAGTATGGTGGAGGGTATAAAAACTCCGCACTAAATATTGTTGGAAAGGAGTGTCTAAAGACATCAGAAACTATGTTAAAAATTGCAGTAAATGCCAAGAGAACAAGTCCCTTAAAAGGACGAAAGAACCTATGTGTATAACGGAAACCCCAGCAAGTGCCTTTGATATTCTCGTTATTGATACAATAGGTCCATTTATTAAGTCAAACAGCGGTAACGAATACGCTGTGACAATTATATGGGATCTCACCAAGTACCTGGTAACTATACCAGTACTCGAAAAAACGGCAAAAACAATAGCTACGGCAATATTTGAAAACTTTGTACTTACATATAGACCAATGAGAAAAGTTTTAACTGACAGAAGAACCGAGTATAAAAACCAGACCCTGCAGGAACTTTTTAAGATGTTGGATGTGAAACATGCTCCCTCGACAGCATACCACCATTAAACAGTTGGATCCATAGAAAGGTCACATAGGACATTTAATGAATATATTCGTTCTTATGTGTCATTAGAACGAACGGATTGGGACGAATGGCTTAAATATTTTACATACTGTTTTAATACTACTCCATCAACAATCCATGGTTATTGTCCGTATGAATTGGTTTTTGGCAAAATTCCGACTACCATTGATTCTCTTGATTTTAACATTGTAGATCCACTTTATAATGTTGACTCTTATGAAAAAGAAGTGAAGTACAGACTCCAAATGGCAAGACAACGAGCAGCCAAAATGATTACTCAATCAAAATTCTCCAATAAATTACAATATGACAAAACGGCTAATTCTTTACACGTACAAGTAGGAGATTTAGTACTAGTAGAGAATAATGGCGGCCATAAATTGGAACAATTATTCAAAGGCCCCTACTCTGTCGAAAATATCGATTCTAATGGGAATTGCTCGCTGTCATTGTCGGGCAGAAAAAGTATTGAAGTACATAAAAACCGTTTAAAATTGTTCAATGCATTAAGCAATAACTTGAATAAAGAACAAAAATATTGAAAATACTGTTTTTTTTAACTGCCTTTTAAATATAACTCTGCCTCTAAAATATACGTACATATAAATTTAGCATATACATACAATAAATTATAAAACTTACATAAAACATAGATAACTGGCCAGTACCTATGAAAATATAATAATATAATTTATATAGTAATAATATATATAAACATACTTTGATCTAAATCTACTTTAGAGCATTTAACTTTTCAATTCGACTTAGTAAACTAATATATAAGAATACACCTATTAATTAATAACAAAAAATAGGTATATATGTAAAATAATGAAAAAAAACAAGTAAAAAAGCTGTAAGTTCGGCCGGGCCGAACTTTTAATACCCTCCACCATTTGGTACAAATTTGGCAATTTCCAAAAAAAAATAAAATAAATAAATAAATAAAAAAATAAAATAAAAAAAATCCTTTAAAAATTCTGTTAAAATCTTAAAAATACCGAATGTCTATACGACGACGTATACATGCATAGGCAACTTTTGTCATAAGTTATTACAACATTTAAATGCGAAACATGAAGAAAAATTTGTTTATAATGTAGCTAAAATCATCAAAATACCGAATATAGGGGGTTCCGTTATATGGGGGCTATACCAAGACGTGGACCTGCACAGACAATTTTCTGGCATGGGCTGAAGTATCCATTACGAACTTCAAATGCGAAATTTAAAACAATCCCGGTAAATAATGTCGCTAAAATCATCAAAATACCGAATATCGGGGGGTACGGTATATGGGGCCTATACGAAGACGTGGACCTACATGGTCCATTTTCTGTTTTCTGCTGCAGTATCTATTACGAACTTCAAATACCAAATTTGGAACGGTTCCGTTAAATAATGTCGCTAAAATCATCAAAATACCGAATATCGGGGGGTACGGTATATGGGGGCTATGCGAAGACGTGGACCTACATGGTCCATTTTCTGTTTTCTGCTGCAGTATCTTTTACGAACTTCAAATACCAAATTTGGAACGGTTCCGTTAAATAATGTCGCTAAAATCATCAAAATACCGAATATCGGGGGGTACCGTTATATGGGGGCTATACGAAGACGTGGACCTGCACAGATAATTTTCTGTCTTAGGCTGTAGTATCCATTACGAACTTCAAATGCCAAATTTGAAACAATTCCGGTGAATACCTACATGACCCATTTACGAACTCAACCTGCCTACTGGAAAAATATACATGTGTGCAAAATTTTAGCCTTCTATCTCAATTCGTTCGAAAGATAGCGTGGTTACAACAGACAGACAGACGGACAGACAGACAGACAGACAGACAGACACACAGACAGACAGACGGACATGGCTAAATCGTCTTAGAATTTTACGCTGATCAAGAATATATATACTTTGTTGGGTCTGACGTGAGTATTTCGAGGAGTTACAAACGGAATGACAAAATTAATATACCCTCCATAGTATGGTGGAGGGTATAAAAACATATTAAATCAATTAAATTAAAATTTAAGATCCCACAACAAAATTTTATAAAATTATTTTGATTTTTTTAAAAACCATAAATTATATTGATTATGATTTTTACAAACCATAAATTATATTTTCAAAATATCGCTTAAGTCAAAAACAAATGTTCTATTTTTCGTTATTCTCATGTAATAATTGTAACCGTTTTTATTAATTAAAGTTAAATATATATGTAAGCATTAGTCTCTATACAAAAAAAAAAAAAATATGAGTAACTTGTAAACATTAAATGTAATTTTAAAATTAACCAGAACTAACTTTAAATAATGCCAGCACTGACTGTTAATTGTAAATTTATGTGAATAAAATTCATGAATTATAAAATTATATGAATTAAACTCAACTAAGAATAATCAACTTAAACCGTTGATTATTCTTTGTTAAAAAGGGAGGTGCATTGTGTTTGATTCATCCATGTTGCCATACCTTCCGTATGACAACGTATCATACTGGTTTACATATTTGTCCAAGTTGGCATACCTTCTGTATCCAACTAATAGTATGCTTTTACTCAAGTTACAATACATTCAGAAGGTAACTTTACACCCTCACTTTATTGAGGTGTGTTGTCTGCACTGCTCCGAGATAGTAAGAGTGCATTATGCTTACTAAGCGTTTTCCCACGCTCACTTTATTTTTCATTTACCTTAAGTTAATTTTTGTAAGATAATATTAGTCCAGTTCTAATTTGAATAAAGTAAGGGGAAGTCGCATTTTGCGGCTTCCCCAACAAAACCAAAAGAGTTTTCATTTAATTGTCTTGTTTTGAGTTAGACGTATGGGCGCAAGTTTTGAAGACCTTTCCGTTCAATTTACCTCACAAAATTTTCAAAAGAGTAAACTTACAAATATGATTGGCATTAACTTAGCAGGCTCAAAGTTCCACATGAGTCAGCCAGTTGATTTTCTCATAGGAACGAATATAATTCCCTTAATATTCACATTCTTTAGTTGGATAATAGGAGGATCAATGCCCAAAAACACAATGACTCCAATTACATATCAGTGTTCAATGCAACTGCAATAGACAACATTATTTTCCGTTCTTGGGAGGTGGAAGAGATCGCAAAAAGAGTTTTGCGGTCCGAAGAGGACTTATTTTGCAAACAAAACTATCTACCAACAAAAAAACAAAATAAAGGAGGGATCTCCCTAGTGTTACCCTACCCTCAAGACATCAAATTACTATTTGCCACACCATGCTGCCATCAAACTAGATCACTCCACTACTAAACTTAGAGTAGTATTTAATGCTTCATGTACTTCAAATAAAAGAAATACTACTTCAAATAAAAGAAATCTGAAATATAACATTTTCGCTGGAGCAAGAATAAAATAATAAAAAGGAATTTTAAAATACATCATAAAAGTTAGAGGCACATTGAAGAGGTATCACAATGGATTCTGATCTGTATGATGAGTTTGGTAATTACATTGGTCCCGACCTGGACAGTGACGAGGATGATGACCAAAGTATTTATGGTCAGCAGGATAATCAAGATGAACGTGATGATGAGGCCATGGAAGAGGAGGAAGATCAAAACGAAGATGAAGACAAAGAGGTAACAGCAGTTGTCTTGCATGAGGATAAACGTTATTATCCCACTGCAGTTGAGGTCTATGGTCCCGATGTTGAGACAATAGTCCAGGAGAAAAATGCTCAGCCATTGGACAAACCACTCATCGAACCTGTCAAGAAGATAAAATTCCAAATTAAAGAACAAGAATTACCCGATACCACCTATAATGTGGAGTTCATGGCTGATTTAATGGACACACCACCGCTCATACGTAATGTGGCTTTAATTGGTCATTTGCATCATGGCAAAACCACCTTTGTCGATTGTCTGATACGTCAGACACATCCACAATTTGATTTGAATGAAGAACGTTCGCTACGTTATACGGATACACTTTTTACGGAACAAGAACGTGGTGTTAGTATTAAAGCCACTCCTGTCACTGTTGTTCTGCAGGATGTTAAAACGAAGAGTTATTTAATGAATATTTTCGATACACCTGAACATGTAAACTTTTCCGATGATATTACAGCCGCCATGCGATTATGTGATGGTGTTGTTGTCTTCGTTGATGCTGCCGAAGGTGTTATGCTCAACACTGAAAGGCTGCTGAAACATGCAGTGCAAGAGAAAATGCCCATAACTGTTTGCATTAATAAGATTAACCGTCTAATTTTGGAATTGAAATTACCTCCTCAAGATGCATATTTCAAATTGAAACACATTGTGGAAGAAGTCAATAGTTTGCTGAGTACATACGGTAATGCTGAAGAAACTCAACTGGTATCCCCCGTATTGGGTAATGTTTGCTTTGCCAGTTCCCTTTTTGGCATATGTTTCACATTGAAATCTTTTGCTAAACTATATGCTGATACCTATGAAGGTGTTAATTATGTGGAATTCTCAAAACGATTGTGGGGCGATATGTATTTCCACAGCAAATCACGTAAATTCACCAAAAAGCCGCCACACAATTCAGCACAACGTAGTTTTATTGAATTCATCTTGGAGCCAATGGGTGGCGTAGGGGATGATAGATACCAAGCAACGGCTCTGATTTCATCTCAATTGTGGACACTGACCTCCCTGCGGTGTCACTTGGGGTAACTATGTTCAACACCCGTTGAAATAGTGAGCTAATATGTGCCGCAAGTTCACCCATAAGAACCATAAAAATGGGTTGAGGCGTCGGGTTAGTTGCCCACACTCGGAAAACACCCTCTACTATGAAAAAGCAAAGAAAAAGAAAACCAAACCCCCCAAATGTTGACGACCCCCGCAAACGTATAAAGGACCACGATCTGCGAATCTGCACTTGGAATGTGCGCACGTTGAACAGAACAGGATGTACTCAAGAATTCGCTTTGGCGGATGTACTCATGAAGTACAAAGCCGATATTATTGCCTTACAAGAAATGCGATGGAAAGGGACAATGATTACGCACTGTATTATGGCTGCCATGAAACGAGATATGAATTTGGCTGCGGATTTATGGTCAACAGGAGAATAAAAGACCTCGTCTCCAGATTCACTCCAGTAGATGAGCGAATTGCTATAATTCGTATAAAAGCCAAGTTCTTCTACATCAGTCTCATTTGCGCCCATGCTCCGACCGAAGACAAAGATGAGCAGACCAAAGGCATATTCTACGATCGCCTAGAAACAGCATATGACCGCTGCCCTGGCCATGACATTAAAATTCTGCTAGGAGATTTTAATGCAAAAATAGGAAGGGAGAATATCTTTGGGCCCACCTTCGAAAGATATAGCCTCCATGAAGAAACATCCGACAACGGTATGAGGCTGATTGACTTCGCGGCAGCAAAAAACATGGTAATTAGCAGCACCAAATTCAAGCACCTCGATATACACAAGGCCACTTGGATTTCTGCTGATCAAACAACGAGAAATCAAATTGATCATGTTGTGATAGACGGAAGGCATTCATCCAGTATTTTAGACGTTCGATCGATCCGAGGAGCGAATATCGATTTGGACCATTACCTTGTAGCACAAAGAGAATCACAAAGAGAACTAATTGCAGCTATCGAATCTTCGGGCTTTCAACTCAGAAAATGGACTTCAAATGAACCCAAAATTATCAAAGATTTACCAGAAAATCACCTTTTACACCTAAGTTGGCTAGATATATCTGAAAATGCGCCCACTAACACCCTTAGGATTAGATGAAATATCTCAGTAGATTGTTTCTCCTCTAAACACCCTCTATTGACAACAAAACCAAACAAAGAAAACAAAAACAAAAGTTCTATCCACCATATCCCAATTATTCAACCCTGTAGTTGGTTACCACCAATAATTGTCGTTGCTAAATTAATTGTACAACAAATATGGTTCGACAATATAGATTAAGATGACATTCTAAAAGCAACGACAATATTGAATTGGAAGAATTTTGTAAAGTATTTTACAAAAATTGATGTCTCTCTATACCTATGCGGATAAAATACGCTTCAACAAATCAGATAGAAATTCATGGATTTCTGACACCACGGAAAGTGCATACAGCACGGCTTTATATATTCGGGTTGAGAATAACAATAGTAGCGTTGACACATTCTGTTTAGCTCCCAAAACAAGAATCGCACCGATAAAAAATATTTCATTACCACGACTTGAAATGCTTTTATCAAAATTATTTATAAGATGTAATTATTATTTATAAGATGAAATAAGACTCCTTATTTTTTGCTGGGCAACCCAACATACAATTTCGCATCGATTTAATCTTCGACACTTTCTTTTCAAATTTAAATCAATATTTTATATATTTGACATCTCCTAACTCTTTGGAGTTCCTTTTACACAATAAATCTGTTTGTCATTAAATTCATTTGAGAAATAACAACTAAGATTAAATTTGTTGATTTTGTTGTTTAATCCCAAAAGAAAAGAAGTTAAAAAGCAGTAAGTTCGGCCAGGCCGAACTTCGAAAAACCCTCCACCATTTGGAACGAATTTGGAAATTTTCAAAAAATAAAATCCTCAAAAAATTCTGGTAAAATTTTAAAAATACCGAATATAGTCGTTATATTGGTGTTTATACGACGCGGACCTACATGGCCATTGTTTGTCATAAGTAAAATAAACGGTGAATAACGTAGCTAAAATAATAAATCAAAATATCGTATATAGGGAGGTAGCGTTATATCGGAGCAGTGCGAAGACCTAAACCAGCATAGACAATTTTCTGCCACAGGCTGTAGCTTCATAACGAACTTCAAATTCCCTTCTCAAACAATTTCGGTGGGTATTATACCTAAACTCGTCAAAATACCGAATATGGGGAGGTATTGGTATATGGAGCCTAAACGAAGATCTGGACCTGCATAGACAATTTTCTGTAACAGACTGTAGATCCCATTACGAGCTCTAAATACGTAATTTGAAACAATTTCGGAGAATAATGACGCTAAAATCATCAAAATACAGAGAGGTACCGTTATATGGTGGCTATACGAAGACGTGGACTTGCGCAGAAAATTTTCTGTCTTAGGCTGTAGAATCCATTACGAACTTCATATACCAAATTTGAAACAATTCCGGTTAATAATGTCGCTAAAATTATCAAAATACCGAATATAGGGAGGTACCGTTATACGGGGGCTATACGAAGACGTGGACCTGCACAGATAGTTTTCTGTCTTAGGCTGTAGTATCCATATCGAACTTCAACTAAACATGTGTGCAAAATTTTAGCCTTCTATCTCAATTCCTTCGAAAGATAGCGTAATTACAACAGAAAGACAGACAGACGGACATGGTTAAATCGACTTAAAATTTTATGCTGATCAAGAATATATATACTTTGTTGGGTCTGACATGAGTATTTCGAGGAGTTACAAACGGAATGACGAAGTTAATATACCCTCCATAGTATAGTGGGAGGTATTAAAATTTGACTACTTTGCACATTCTTTCCCCAAAGTAAGACCTAATTTACAACAAGTAATAAAGCAGTAAGTTCGGCCGGGCCGAACTTTGAATAACTTCCACCATTTGGAACGAATTCGGACATTTTCAAGAAATAAAAATAAAATTCATTAAAAATTCTGTTAATACATCGGAATGTGCCGATATATGGGGGGATAAACGATATTGTGGACCTATATAGACAATTCTATGTCTAGGGATAAAGTACTCACAAATAAGTCTTTGTATTGAATTTAAGACAATTCCGTTTAGAAATGTGGCTAAAATCATCAAAATACCGAATATCGGGGGATACCGTTATATGGGGATGTACGATATCATGAACCTATATAGAGAACTCCCTGTCAGGGGGTAAAGTGTTCACAAAGAACCCCCTGTGTAGAATTTCAGACAATTCCGTTGAAAAATGTGGCTAAAATCATCAAAATACTGAATATTGGGGGTACTGTTATATGTGGACTATATGATATCGTGGACCTTATAGATAATTCTCTTTCAATGAATAAAGTACTCACAAGGAACTCGTTGTGCGGGTTTTTAGGCCATTCCATTGGAAAATGTAGCTAAAATCATCAAAATTCCGAATTTTGGGGGATACCGTTATATGGGGTTTATACAATATTTTGGACCTATATAGACAATTTCCTTTTAGGGGGTAAAGTGCTCACAAGAAACCCCTTGTGTAGAATTTTAGACAATTCCGTCGAAAAATGCGGCTAAAATCATCAAAATACTGAATATCGGGGGGTAACGTTATATGGGGGATATACGATATCGTGGACCCATATAGACAATTTTCTTTCAGAAAGAACTCCTCGTGTAGATTTTCATTTATATATTCTATTGGAAAATGTGGCTAAAATCATCAACATACAGAATATCCAGGAGTACCGTTATATGGGGGCTATACGATATCGCGGACCTATATAGATAATCCTCAGGCAAGGGATAAAGTACATACAAAGAACTCCTTGTGTGGATTTTTATACAGTTCCATTGAAAAATGTGGCTAAAATCATTAAAATATCGGGGGGTACCGTTATATGGGGGCCATACGATATAGTGGACCTATATAAATAATTCTCTGCCAAGAGATAAAGTGCTCTTTGAGAACTGCTTGTGTGTATTTTCATACAATTCCATTGAAAAATGATATCGGGATATCGGAAGGACGGACAGGGCTAAATCGTCTTTACGCTGATCAAGAATATATATACTATGTTGGGTCTAAAATGATTATTTCGATGAGTTACAAACGGAATGACGAACTTAATATACCCACCATACTGTGTATGGTGGAGGGTATAAAAATGGGCTAACATAATCATGAAAAAATTGCAAATTGTCTTAGATTTGCAAGGTTATGCATTGATCTAAAGTATAACAAGCATAGAAGATGACATACATAGATTAGAGGCAATTAGATTAATTTTATGACCAGGTGAAATGAGCGTGAATAAAATGCAGAGACTATGTTTCGGAAGAAGAAGAAAAACCTGTTGACAAAAATATATTGTATACTCCGACAAACACAGGAGTATAACCAACACCAAGAGAGCCAGGACGTCCTTTGTACCGCTAAATTTGCCGCTTTATATATATTCTTACAAGAGCTGTTAAATATAAGTAAACCCCAATCAATTCTGAATAAAATAAACATGTTTGCTTAAAAGCAAACAACTTTCGTTTTTTACTCTCTCGGTCACTTTATAAATTTCTGTGGCAGACCTAGACCCCCCGAGCATACCTCAGCAAGAAGAAGGGAATTTGGGTCGGTACAGTGGCGCCCGATCAGGACCTTGAAAGAGTTTAAACGATAAACAAGAATTGATTGGAAGGTTACGAGAATGCTGGCATCTTTGCGTGTCTCCTGGGCCTACACCCTGGTACTGTTGAAGAGCTTCGTTTACGGTTCGCCCTCTTATTATCGGAGGAATACTCTCCTGAACGATTTTCTCGACTCATGGAATTGCAAGAGAGATACGAGAAACCAGCTACCAGCACGGAATCAGAATTTCTTACCCCGCAGAAAACACCCAACGTTCCAGAATGTGAAAACCATAGAAACCTGGACTGGCCTTTACGGCCTAGCACGGATAAGGCGGTTTGGGATCCTCGAGCCTTAGCAGACCAGGTCCAAAAATGAAACATCAGTTATGATGGTAGT